TGTCTTTCAAATTAAAACTATTTTTTTAGTAAACTTTTTGTACCTAATTTAGGTATATATTTTACTATGAGTATACATATCCTAATAGGTAATGTGTTTCCAGTCCTGCTATTGTCTTAACAGTGGGACATGTATTGTAAAAAAGTAATTACGTACATAAGACATACCTACATACTCTGCAGAAGAACCTCTAAGAGCACGTTCATAAACTTTTGTTGTAACTTAATTGTCACAATTTTCAACACTACGTCACACTTGTTGGAAAAAAAATTAAGTTACATTTTTCTTTGAGTTTTAATTTTAAATCTAAATTCGTGCACTATCGATGATAAAAAATGTTATAATCAATCAATACGATATTTTTTGTAGGTAGCACTCAAACGAAAATGCTACTTCATTTTTAAGAGGAAACTTGCACTTTTTTTACAGTTTGTTGGCCATTTTCCAAGATGGTGGACTTTGCTAAAGTAGAAAATTTTAATTATTTTCGGAAAATTATAAGAGACATAATTTGAAACTATTCTTGTAAATAAAACAATTTGAAGACGTTGCTTAGCAATAACAGGAAATACTTCATTTGCTATTCATTTTGGTCCCACAGGTACGTTAAATGAGAGTTTACTTTGACATTCGCCGTTTACGTCAATATTGCTCAAACATTGTTATACAGTATTATACAGGGTGATTGATATAAGTGTGCCAGCCGTTTTATTCGAAAACTATAAGAGATATCAAAAAAAGTTAAATGGCAAGTGCCTTGGATTTTTTATTTAAAAAATTATAGTCAAGTCAAACAGATTATTTTAGCCGCCATTTTTCCAATGACTACAGCTTAATAAACCTCTTTCCAATGGTTGTAGAAAACTCAACTATGGCTAATTTTAAAGCTGGAGTCTTTAGGTTTGTTTAGTGTCCTTTAACGGTAATCAGCTGTTCTATTGTTTTTTGCATGTTTGAATTTTCAGAACATACAGTTGCAATACGGGGAAGAAGTTTAAAGCAGAGTTTATAGAATGGTTTATAAAGACGAAATCTGTGGTGTGATTTTTTATGTTTGTGGGTTTGTGGAAATTTAGTGTTTACGCTGGCTTAATTTTTATCTATTCTCTTTTGGACACTTGGTATACATGCTGTTGGGAGAAAGGGGGGGGTGTTAAAAGAAGGTAAATTATTTTACAGACGGGGTTTGGGACTCGCAGAAGCCCTACCAATTAAACCTACATCAACTTTTAAGGCACTAACATAGAACTGTATACCACATTATACCTCAATCATGTAATTTATGCCACCATATTAACACAATTAATAGCATTTTTAGCTAAAGGCTTCTAATCAAAGATCAAATTTACATTGATTGTACAATTACAGATGTTGCAAATTGATACAGTTGATGAAACAATAACAAATGTTGGTTTGTTTATTATTATTAATAAAATATTTTACTTGATTGTTGTAATATTTGGCATACATTATTAGTGTGGGATTTCCCTCGAGAGTTACACAAAAACAGCCACTAGTTTCACTAATTGACTTGTAAGTGGTAAACATTACCTCTTCTATCTATATTTGTACATGATGTTCATTGTATTTTAAATACGATTATTTCAGTGCAGTAGCTCTCCCGAGTTTGATTATGATAGCTACAGTAGACTGTGGTCGCTTGGTATAATGGATTATGGTATGATGCATGCCAATTCGTCCACGCCCTGATACATTTAATACAGTTGGAGACTTTGCATACAATTTGATAAAATATGAATTTCAAAATTAACTCAGTATTATATACGCTTCTTAGGATGGGGGCTGGAGCCCTACCAATGAACTGTATAAAATTGTATCAATCTTTTAATTTATGCCACCAGCGATTTCGAAGCTGGGGTATCCGATTATTAAAAACAGATCTCTACCTCTCCGTTGCGTCAATTATGTTGGAACAAATTAAATTTAGAGAGATTGGGATTGTAAGGTTTTCGTTGTACAATATTTTCGACGATTTACAGGTAACTTTAGACACGCTGTGTTTCTAAAAAGGCTAAATCAAACATTGCAAACAATTCATGGAAACGCTTTACTATATTTGAAACATCAGCTAATTGAAACATGATCACTGAAATAATGACTCTGTAACGGTATGATTAATCCATCATTGATTGGAGAGATTGACTTCCATCAGTTTGTGTAATCAGTGGAAAAACAGTAGAGGTTAGTTTAGTAAATACATTTTTGATTGATAGAACAGTAGCAATTTATATGAAATTTAGAAAATGTGTTCGTAATAAAAAAAATAATTAAAATAAACTTTAGAAGAACGCGATTTGTGTCAACAAAACTCATGATTTATGGATGCAATATATATTTGCTAATGTTTATAAAAAAATAATAATAATTTGGAACCATCAACAACTAATAAATAAATCCTTTTCATACGCGATCTGTTTTATGATTTATTTTTTAATTTTTGTATAACATGCACAACATATAATATACTAGCAGAGCACCCGTCCTTCGTATGGGGTTTGCATATAAGTATAAATGCTTATTGCAGTCAAGCTTTGCGTTTGTAATGGGGAGGGCAAAGTTTGATAAAATTTGGTTCTTTAAATTTATGGTATGATATACTATAACACATCTACCATAGGCCATAATGTTCTACCACTACCTCTAAAAAATAGAAAAAAGATCAATTATCAAACAGTTACACAATATCACAAATTATTCATTAACTTAAAAACATAAACATACCTAACTGTAAACAATCCTACTTTGACAGTTCTCATTGTGTATCACAGCTTTTTGTTGCTGCTTAGTTAAATTAGCTAATGTAATATATGTAAAAACAAAATACTTATAGTGTTGCTCTTGTTGGGAAACCTTATAACTTTTTAATGCTGTTGCATATTGTAGAACCAACTTGTAAAGTTGAAACAGCGGACTAAATTATTTTATTCCTTTTAAATATGATTACTCATAAGGTTAACATGGGGAACTGCAGAGCCACTGGGGCGGAGCCCGAAAGGAATTTTGAGACAGGAATAGGCCTTTATGTTAATCGGGAATGTTAGCGACTGTATCATCACGCCAAATTTCAGCCCAAACGGTCCTGTAGTTATTGCGTGATTGAGCAACACACAAACTTTCAGATTTATAATATTAGTAAGATGTTTGTCTCAATACAATTTAAATTAATGATCTTTACCTGTTCTTTTAATAATACATATAATGCGACAATGGCTTCAATTGGATATGATGAAGTTTTCAACTGCATAAATAAAATCTACAATAAGAACTCAAGGAGGAATATGGAGGTAGTTTGGAAACAAGAAAAATCGCCACTGTTTGTTACAGTTCAGCCGTCTATCTGTGCGCGCGGGCCGGTGGTCAGGTTGCATGGCGGGAGGGTGGGAGGGGGCTCTTTTCCAAAAACATTGGCTACCCCAAAACGGCAACGGGAAGTTGAGGCAGCCCAAACTGGCCTGCAGGTGTAATCCTATTAGTGACGCTTCCGTGTACGACCTAGTACAATTTTGAATTATGTAAATTTTACTAAGGAAATACGAGGTCATTATCCTATATTATTAACAGTGACATAGCAATCATTTCTGTTTTTGTCACATTCCAATCGGACATATTATGCGGTTTTACAGCAACAATAAACGGTAAAATATTCACATTGCATATATTATTTACTCAATTGTTAGTTTCAACGATGTCAATAAGGATATTACCTAATTAAAATGTTGAAAATACCCCCGCCGCAGCAAACCTGCAGACTAAGCGGATTTCCGTATGTCTGATTAGATTTACACTTAAATGTCTACTTAAAAATTTAACATTTATTTCCTATTTAAATTTAATTAGTTTAACAGGTACTTAGGTTTGCTGCATTAGGGAGGGTAAAACTGTTTTTTTTTTATGTTAATAGTTAGTAAGAAATAAAAACATTTTACAAATTTTACCAAATTTTATGAAAATCGGACAAAAATTACTCAAGTTATCGTGCGGATGGACACACACACACATATATATATATATATATAAATTTGAACAAATGGTGTTTTTGGCCTCTGGGGACATCAAAATGAAAAATTAAATCGGTCCCGGGCCTAGGTCTTACCATGAGACCTACGGTAATAGCTACTTCCCTATAGGGAAATTCGTTAAAAGGAATAACCCAGCACAAGTTTGTGTTTATTAACAACACACCAATCGCTATGACGTTTGAAAATATATTCTAGAGCAGTGTTAAAATTGGTCATGTTATGGTGAATCAGTAATATTTACCATATGAGTCACAGACCTAAGGGTTGCAGCCACTTGCTACGCAGGGTTATTGACTCCTGGCTACGTCATATGTCATGAGTCACACATAGTTATCCGTACTGTGATATTTACCAACTTAAGAAAAGATCAGTCTCTCCTGATAGTTCATATAGTGCGGTTGTAAATTCTGAAAGTGTGTGATTTGGCTATTGGTTTATATCTTAGTTTTCATATATCATAGACGAAGTAAGTGTGCATTTATATATATTTTTATTTATTATCGTAAGCGTTCTCCATACACAATGGAAAATGAAATACAATCTAAATTAAAAGGCCGTGTCGTTAATAGTCAAAGTAGAGAAATAATTTCAAATGTTTACTCATTTATGAAACAAGAAGCGGACAATAAAGGTGTTACGATTCCAATAGCTAAAGCTCGAGAAAGAACCGCTTCTGCTACTGGCGTTTCTGAACGGATGGTCACTAAAATAAACGGAGAGCTTAAACAACTGAAATCCAACAATGAGGATGAAACAAAAAAGTTCTTGACTCCAAAGAAACGCCCTGGGAGATCAAAGACGTGTATAGACGACTTCGATAAATGCGTAATAAGACGTACAATATACAATTTCCATTTGCAAAAGAACTGTCTTCCTACTGTAAATTTATTGTTGCAAGAACTGAGAGAAAGCATTGACTTCAAGGGTGGGAAAACCACTTTACGAATTGTCTTGAGTGAAATGGGTTTCAAGTGGAGGAAAACAAAAACTAACAGAAAATTGCTGGCTGAGAAATCTGATATTCGTGACAAACGCATAACTTATTTGAGAAAAATTAAACGGTTCAGGGAACAGAATAGACCGATAATATTTCTCGATGAGACATATGTTCTGTCGACTCATGTAAAATCACAATCTTGGTCAGACGATTCAAACCAAGGAGTACGAACACCAGTGTCAAAGGGGAACCGACTGATAGTCATCCACGCTGGCGGAGAGAAAGGATTTGTCCCCAACGCGTTGACAACATGGAAGGCAACCACTCACTCTGGAGACTACCATGATAATGTCAACCAAGAAATGTTCATGAAATGGATGACTGAGAAGCTGTTGCCAAATTTGGAGCCAAACACTGTACTGGTGGTAGACAACGCACCATACCATAATGTGTTAGTGGACAAAGCTCCTACTAGTAAAAGTAAGAAACAAGAAATGAAAGACTGGCTTTCTAAGCACAATATTGCTTTCAGCGAAGAAATGTTTGTGCCTGAACTGTATAAGTTGATTACACAAAACAAATCGAAATTCTTCCGCTACGTCCTAGATGAGACTGTTCAGGCACAAGGTCACGAAATTCTTAGATTACCACCTTATCATCCGGACCTAAATCCAATCGAACTTGTTTGGGCTGATATAAAGGGCTACGTAGCAGGAAGAAACACTACATTTAACTTTTCTGATGTGCAAGCTATCACTGAAGAAAAGATCGCTAGTATGGGTCCTGAGGATTGGTTTCCGAAGTGTCAACACGTAAAGAAAGTTGAGGAGGAATATCTTTTGAAGGAAGGGGGAATCGACAACATGTTGGAATCTTTCATAATTTCACTGGGGAATGATTCAGAAACGGATTCCAGTGATGATGAATCAGAAGATGGAATGAGTGGAGTAGAAGAACTCCAATAATCGTTGGAAAGGTAAGTGTTAATTTAGTTTTACACATTAAATAAGTTATTTGCTAAATTAAAAATATTTACTATGTACGGCAATCAATATGAACGCATTTTAGATGAGACAAAGAACCTATTTTAATATACCCTTATAAATACATAGATGCAATAAAAATAACTTGTATCAGCTGTTTTTATTAACTGCAGCTACAAAATATATTGACAATAACATGGGCACTTTAACAGTAATAGTAGGGTTAATAGTAGGGCGGAAACTGGATTTTATCAGCCTCGTGACCAAGTCCAATCGATTTATCTGTCATCTCAAAATCTTTCATTTATAACTATTTTAAAGGCGAATTTCACACCTGATCTTTTCAAGGGTAATCATTTGAAGGATAACAACGTTTACACTAGAGTTTCTAACTTTGTATTAATTTTCATCAGCCATTAGGCGGCCGAAATATAGGTTAAAATATAACATGACTAATAAAGTAAATTCTAACCAATGGTTTTTAAAAGCATTATTTAAATTGTTTACAATTCTAAATGCCTTTATACAGTTAAAGGAAATCGTTATAGCCGGCAAAAACAAACATTTTCATCCTGTATTAGAATATGGGATAGGGCTATGTTTCATTATGAGAAGTGAGTGATTTCATTTAATTTGTTTCTCAAGAAATGTACATATTTACTCTCTGAAATATAAATTTCTTTGGAAGTGAAATAAATCATGTAATTAGTATACTCAAACGATTACTTATACTATTACTTGAATATTGAACACTTTTTATTTATTTTTAGGTGGTTTCTTGGGACGAGTATGGAACCATATGATGTTATAAATATATGTGAAGCTGACGAAAAACACATCATTTTGGAAAAATGTATCATTCTCTTTAAAAAAACGGACACGTGCATAGTATTTTTTGTTTGTTTATATTTTCTTTTTCTCTATAATGTATATTATAACTGAGCTTATTAAATATTTGGTCATTCTCTTTGAATATTAATTAGACGTTGTATCTAGTATTTATATTTGAGTATTTTCATATTTTCTAATTTTATTTAATATACATTATAATTTTGCTTATTGAATATTTTATCATTTTTGTATGTAGTATATATTTGTTATTATTTCATATTTTCTACTTTTGTTTGGTGTACATTATAATTAAATTAGCTTTCTAAATACTTTATCATTCTCTTTCGATAATAACTACGTGTTGTGTATAGTATTTCCTTTTTGTTTATATTATCTTATTTTGTATAATGTATATAATTTAGCTTTTAAAATATTTGGTTATTTTTTTGAATAATAAATTACGCGTTGTATAATAGTATTTCTTTTTGTATTTTCATATTTTCTTTTTTTGTAGACTACGATTTAGCTTATTATATTTTATAGTTCTCTTTGAATAATGCTGTAACCAACACGTTGTATACAATATTTTATTTTTATTTTGTATATATGTACATTTTAACTTAGCTTATTAAACCATTTATAAAAAATCTTGTTATTCTTATTAACTTGGCCTTTAGCTATACAAACATGGAATAGCAAGAAAGCACAATTATAGTAAAATTTAAATATCTTTATGAGGTACCAAAACACTTCTAAAGTGCATATTAAAGGTGAATATGAATGAAGTTCGAGTGCAAAATCAGTTGTGAATTACTGTTGGGTTGGTGGAAATGAGCGAACAATGCCCTCAGTCGCCCCTACCGTAGGTTTTCTGCAAGGATAGTAGCGAAGGGTTCGCGCGCACAGATAGACGGCTGAACTGTATTTCTGGTCGGTTGGGTCCATCCGTGGGGCTTGCATATCTCCCGGGTTATCTGTCACCTCCTCAGCAGTTTTGGCGCCAAAGGAAAACAGTTGATGAGTTACTCAGTGAGTTGGTTTACGTGCATTCAAATTTATTCGTTGAACAAGTATATTTAAAAAGAAGGTATATTATTAGTTTAAAAATACGATGGCAAAGCATTGATTGATCAAAGGATTTTATTTTCTGATTGCATAATACATCTAAAATCATCAAAAATATTTTAAACGTATCGTTTTATTTTAATATCGGTAACAATATAAAATACTAACAAATGCATTTTAGTATCTTTCAAGCCTTATAAAGTTAAAATTATCTTTTATATCATAAACATATTATTAAACGAATAGGCTTCCATAATACATGATAAGTTTAAAAGTTGAATTTAACTAATCCATTCAGACAGACATGCACTAGACAGTTAATGGATATGGATACTGTCCGACATCGGACGAGTTAGAGTGTTCTGACAACACAAGCAGTCTGATATTGCATCTCAAGTGCAGGAGTTATAAGTGTTGGCAAATATAACAGCTATGATGGAAATGAGGAGGGAATAGCTATTAAAACTAAACTAGGTAAATATTTAGTATAATAGAAATCCATTTAGAATAAATTATAAAATTTAATTAAAATAGTCGAATGTATTACAGATACTCTATCAAAAAATGTTTGCTCTTTTTTGTTTTAGCAGCCTTTAGACTGACACATATATATTTTTGAATTGGTTGACGGACTCTTTTAACCACATTTGCCCGTCCACATAGACCTGGCTCCATTGTCTCGTCGACGGATCACTGAATGGAACATATCCAGCAAAGAATAGGGGTAAGCACTAAGCAGGTACAGTACAAGGGTAAAGTGTTCTGATAAAAGGTAGTAGCACTAACCAGGATCATAACCCACGACATTACTGCTTTGGGCTTCCACCGATTGAGCCAGCGATTCACCAAAAAGTTTCAGACTTATGACAAAAATAAAGTATCACGGTATCGTATTGGGTTTCAATCACAAAGGCACGATATTATTATTTCCTGCATTTATATTTAAATACAAATTAGTAAATATAAATGTACTATTTCATCTGCATTTTGCTCGTTCACATTTTACAGTTAACAACCCGTCATCGGCAATATTATAGAAAAAGATAACTAATTGTATAACTTCTCAATTTACATGAAGTAAAGTACAAAATCGTTGTTTGAAAAAGACTTGATTCCCAATAAGATTGTCAATTTTTCCATTAATTTGGAACTGGATGTTTTTTAGTCAATTTCATGATTGTTTTAGGCAAGTCGACAGTGGTTTACGACACATTCGGTTCACAGTGCTATTGGTATTGACGTGTCGGTAAACATCAAATTAAACTTTACAGCTACTTCCGTAGGATTTGCCAGTTGTTGCCTTGGTGAAATCATATCTTGTCAGCATCACTGATCTTTTTTATTATTTTAGGTTTTATAGATAGACTACTAGATTATGTGCTGCGATTGAGTGTTTCCATTTATGAGGGTTTGTACAAAATAAATAGAAATTGTAGTAAAATCTTGACTTTTATATAGATTTTAACATTATTTCAAAAAAATCTAAAAACAAAATCTAAAAACAAAAACATTATTTAAAAGACGCACTGTATAAATAAATAAAAATACTCATTGCTTCCAAGTAATGTATAGTTGTTATTTTAAATATTAGCCTTTTTAAGACGAAGCAAAACAGATAACCCTACCTCTCCGTTGCGTCAAATATTTTAGGAAAAATAAAAATAAATTGACAGAGATAGGGTTAGTGAGATTTTTGTTGTACAATAATTTCGACGTTTGAAATGTAACTTAACACCGCTGTGTTTCTAAAAAGGCTAAATCAAACATTGCAAACAATTCATGGAAACGCTTTACTATATTTGAAACATCAGCTAATTGAAACATGATCACTGAAATAATGACTGTAACGGTATGATTAATCCATCAGTGATTGGAGAGATTGACTTCCATCAGTTTGTGTAATCAGTGGAAAAACAATAGAGGTTAGCTTAGTAAACCGACTGTTGATTGATATCATTATTGTAGGAACTTTTTTTTATGAAACTAGCATTAAATAAACTGCCAAAGAATAAACAATTTTCAACGTAATTCCAGATTTAGAGACGGAATGGATATTTTCGCTAAGGTGGAAAGCTATTTGCAGCTAGTGCTTACACAGTAGGCTGTCTAAACACCAAACCAAAGAGAGGCAACTTACCGTACGGTTTGTTAAAATCTCTCTAAATATGTCCCCAACAGGATCAAATCAAACTAACAAAAATTACTCTGTTCTCATTCACAAGCAAATATTTAAGTAAATAATTCGTCTAAAACTAAAAATAAGTATGTGTGTTCCTTGACCCATAGTTTTGTTATATTTTAACATTATTTGTTTTGTTAGATGTGGGGACCTAACTTTTCATACCCTCTTCCCTAAGGAAGTGACATTTACGATCAAGCTTGAAAAAATAACAAGTCTGGGTAAGTAAGACAATTGGTTATTAGGGCGAAATAAATCCTCTCATGTAGATAATAGGAAAAGATTAACTTGCTTATTTCACTTATGTTTCCACGATTGTGATAAATCATCAAGGATGTTCGCCGTAATTGTAAATCTTGACAATTGACAGATTTGATTACCGATGATGTTGCGATCGCAAAAACATAACGAAATTCACCGAAGAGTTTTTAATGTACTAGTAAGTATTAATAAATAGGTTTTGCTCATTTTGAGCAATAAGTTTTTTCCTAATTCAATTAATTGTTCAACTGATTTCCCTTAAATTTTGCAAAATCCAATGCCTATATAGCCAGCTGCACTGCACGTAACGTGGCTTTGTGGCTAGAATAGGATCTGTATTCCTCAAAACCTTTAGAATTGCTTCCACTTTACTGGGTGAAAAAGAGAAATCCTAGTCATATACAGTATGTATTAGTGTGGGCTGGGGTGTATCATTCGCTAGACTGGCCTGTTAAAATTTAAATAACTTTTGAAAACTGTTAATGTGTACCTTAGGATGAAAAAATTACTTATTGCCATTTTTTTTTCATTATTAATAACCCCAATCCAAGATGGGTTTGCGGTTCTGTACTCTACTAGTAAAGACCTTTTATTTGATATGTATATCAACCTATCCTTACGTTTAAGGATGTCAATATTACTGCAA